CGTTTGCCTTTCAGCTGCTACACCTTTTTTTTTTTTTTTTTTTTTTTTTTTTTTTTGGTTTTTCGAGACAGGGTTTCTCTGTGCAGTTTTTGGTGCCTGTCCTGGATCTCACCCTGGAGACCAGGCTGGCCTCGAACTCACAGAGAGCCACCTGGCTCTGACTCCCGAGTGCTGGGATTAAAGGCGTGTGCCACCACTGCCCTGCTTGTGTTTTGTTTTTGAGACAGAGTCTCACGATATAGCCTTGGTTAAGCTGGAGCTCAGTTTGTAGATCAGACTGCCCTCAAACTCCTCAGCACTAGGATTAAAGGCAAGTGCCACTACACCAGGTTGTCACCTTTGGACATCCCTCTAGCTCCCTCTATGTGGAGCCTTCGGTCCCACCTCCATGGGCTTCCTCTTGATCCCATTGTTGTCCCTTCCCTTTATCTCCCTTTGTCTCAGCCCAAGACCTACTCCTCCCCTGGGAAGCTGCCAGACCTCTGAGCCGAAGGGACATTTCAGAAGAGCCATTTAGAAAGAGAAGAAGTCCCTGTCCCTAGGATGGAGGCCTGGAAGACCCCAAACAGCCGTCAGAAGGCCAGGCTGCTGAATGTGATGTCCCTCGTATTTCTAGGGACCGAAGAAATGGAGGCAGCTGCAGGGGCAGTGGAGAGGAGCCCGGAGGCAAACCTAGGACCGTGATGGAGGAGGTTGGTCTGCTGGAGCCAAGCTCAGCTCCGTTATCTCTGAGGCAGCAGGAGGACAGAGTGACAGCGAACAGAGCTCTGCCAATCAGTTAATCTCAGGATCTACCCTCCACCTGGGTTCGGTTGGGTACACAGGCTCATTTCTCTGATTTGGCTCCATTTCATTATGTAAACTCAGCCAGCCTAGTCTCTTTCCCCTTGTGTGTGCACACACATTCCCTCTAAGCCCCAGGATACTCAGAGCTTGGGGCCAGGTGGGGGCCAGGCTGGAGGACAGAATAGGCGTCTTTTCTTCACCCCTCAGGCATCCAGGGAACTCTGACACAGTCTACTGACCCACCCTGCTGGAGTGGTTTGCTTTCATCAGGCTGCTTACCCTCCCTGCCTCAGGGAGGAGAGGAACACAGCAGAGACCTAGGATGGTTTCGGCCATCATTCTTCTGCTGGGTGTCCCCGAGAGAGCCTCAGGGCACCTGTCTCGGGGTGTCAAGAATCCCTGGCTAAAGGACTTGCTGATTCTTACTCTTTTGACCAGAGGCAGGAACCGAAAGGCAGAGGTGTGAAGGAGAAAGAATCCTGAGGCCCATGTTGGGAAGCTTGGGGCCATGCCCACATCGGCACACACGCCACTGAGTAAAAATAGAATCGAGTTTCTAGATCATCCAAGGGAGAGCACTTTAGCACCAATCACAGTACAATTTACTTCCCAAACCTGCCCAGCTGCTTCCCTCTCCCATTCATTATTGGAGTCCAAGCATCACAGGAAAAAGCACAGTTCAGGCGGGCTGAGCGGAGACGGGAAGGCTGGAGAGTCACTGAGGTTTCAAGAGATCAATGTGGGCAAGCCAAGGCGCACAGGCGACGGTAGAAGGGAGGCGGGTAGAGTTCCTGGGGACAGAGGAAAGGACAAAGACATTGCGTGCAGGGGACAAATGAGAACTTGTGATCTCACGACAGAAGACAAGCCTAAGCAGGAACGCCTGGAGCCCAGGCCAGTGCAGGAGGATGACGGGTGGGCTTCTGGTGTCCAAGAGGAGAGCAGAGGGAACAAAGCCCAAGGCTGGGGCATCAGAGGCACGGCCTCTCCCGCACAAGCAGGCCTCAGCCCCCAGCGAGGGAAACTCTGGCGTGAGTGGAGAAGAAAAGGAAGATGGAGATGGTCCTGCCAAGGGCGGCTGCTGTGGACCGCAGGAGCAGCAGACAGCAGGAGCAGCAGACCAAGCTTCTCTTCTTCTCCTAGGAAGATGCAGACAGTCCAGAAACCTGGGGTCCCATGAAGCGTCGGTAGCACCATCCGTGCCCCACATGGGAAACTGGGGGCAGTATACTGCTAGGGTACCCAGTACGTGTTCTGTGGCTACCCACTCTGTGCACAGCTCTGGGTGTCTGTCCTGCAGGAGTTCTCAGGACACCTGAAGAGCCAGGCCTGGCAACAGAGCTTCCATATATTGGACCAAGCACTCCCAGGCTGGTGCTGTGGGAGCGGAAGAGACAGGCCCCAGCAAACGCCAATGGCTACCTTGATCAGGATCAGCCCGGGAAAGGCTTGTTGGAGGGACTTTTCTAAAATAGAAAGAGAGAGATGAGTGCTCTTGCTCCTAACCCTCCAGTTATTCCTGGATAGCGTTGAGCAAGCTTTTACTCTGCCTCTGTCGATCACGACACTGCACCCATGGGCCCTGCAGTCAGATACACACACACACACACACACACACACACACACACACACACACACACACACACACAAAGGGTAATCATAGGCACAGAGTGCTACGTGTCAGATACAAATGTGGTGGTATTGTGTTCCCCAAAATGTTGTGAACCCTAA